AATATAATATAGATTGAGATTATATCAAGATTATATGAAATTTTGAACTAATTTTGATCAGTGCATCTTGAGATATATGATGTCAAACATGGTGTTTAGAGACTTTTGACTGCTTTCTGTAGTACCTATCTTTAGCAGCGCAGTAATAAGCATCTATACTTTCTTTATGAAGAAGTCTACCTTGCACTTTAAATTTAACTTGATATCTTCCTGTATATTGTATAGCCCTTTTTGTTATAAATTTGTTGGCCAAAACTGTATTCAGATCTATTCATATGATAGTATATGAATTTCTGCTAGGAGTGGTTCACCATTCTTAATATATAGCCTTGCCAAAATTATGTTACAAAGATCATGTATAGAAATTGCCAAAGGGATATGTATAATTGCATTATAGCGTTGATAATCTACAGCCAGAGTTTCCTATATAATTATATTAAAGATTATTATACAATATATATTATAATATTATCAATTCAAAAAATTATATACCTCATTAAAATACATATCTAATTCATTTCAAAATATATTAAATTTATTTCTCTTGAATCCATTATTTGTTCACAAATCAAATATTATTGATGGATCTTTAAGTGCTAACATTAAGCGCAATCTTTTTTCAATTTCACGATTAATAGTATTTGATGTAACAGTTGCATCTCCAGTAAGATCAAAATATGCATTCGTAATATAGCAGGAGTAACTGTTTTTATTAAAGAATACTATACAAATAATTTATATATTAAACAATTTAAAATATTTTAAATATAACCAATTTTCTTAATATAATTTAACAATACCTTATTAAGAACGTTCTTTTTCATCTGCTGGGTAAAATATTTAGGCAATCCTTCATGAATTTTAGCCAACATATGAACTTTTTGGATTTCATCTTAAAATTCAACAGTTACTTCAGATTCTGATATTTTTTCATATATATGTTATCATACCAAAATAATTTCCTTGTGCATATCTAAAGAAATGCTTACTATTAGTATTAATTAATAAATAAGCAGCCATTAGTATGAATTTTATAGTTTATATTACTTATAAATTTCAATTAAACATGTTAATTAAAGATTTTTAATATATCGATAATGTTTCATAATATCTATAGGAAGATAAGAATAAATATCCACATATTGATAGTAACCAAGTTGTAAAATAACATCATTTAACTTTTGATATTGTTCGTTAAGATCATCTTTCTTACAGCTAAGAACATGAAATATACTAGCATTATTTGTTGGATTGCGTGTCGATTCATCATTGTGATGAATAGTGGTCATTATTTTTTTTATTTTTTACAAGATGTTCACTATATTTTTGCATCATATCTACTAAGGAAATTATAGTGGAAATAACATTATTCCATTCATTATCATTCACCTAAGGTTGCCCTATAAAGAGTTCTAATGATTTGATTAAAAGGTCTAACTTTTGATATGAAATAGGTTCTTTTTTGTGATGACTAGTATGATATGTGAGATTATAAGTATTTCTATTAGTATCATCACTTATATATGTTGCTAATTCTTTAAAAAGCATAGGCATGTGACAGGAACAAGATTGTAATAATTTTAAATATAGATCGATATACCAAAAAGCATTTGCAATACGTTCTATAAATTTCTTTTCTAAAGTTTGATGAATACCTCCCTTTCAACCAGCTTTTTAATTATGTAAAAGATTAATGATCTCATTGTATAATAGGTCACGTCTAGTATGTTCAGTACAATATTGTAGAAGTTGTAGTTGTCGTGCATTAATCATCATAATTTTAAATGTATCAGAAAAACAGGGTGATTCTATATTTCTTACAGATTCTGTAAGAAGTGAAAATTTTACATAATTATATCCTAAGAGTTCCATGATTTTAAGATCACTGTTTAAACTGTCACTTACTTCTACCCATTTGTTAACCTTATTTTGACAAACATAAACTACAACACCTTGATTATTAAATTGTCCAGAAGTAAATATTTCATACAATTCTAAAAACTGTATATTTTCCATAATTGTGATTATTCGCTCAGTAGTATACATTTAATACCTTCAGTAACTATTATTACAAGATATAACATATTTTTTATACATTGATATAAGTTTCTAACGCATCTATTAGAAATTTTTCTGATATAAACTAGGGCCATCTGTGAAACTACCTCCTAATTTATGATTTATTAGGTCCTATTGATCAGCGATTATCATTTGGTTTTGAATCGTACCAAATATTCTACCATTTTCGATATATAAATATTTGATTTAAAAAAAATTAATGAGTTTTTTTTTGCTTTGGATAGAGAAAAAAAAATAAAATAATAAGTCGAAACTTACCTAAATAAAGAACCAACAATTGTGCAAGAAAATTTATGTGACCTTTCAAAGGTATCTAATTTTTTTTAGATATTACGCTCAGCCAAGAATGGAAAATTTAAATAAAAAAATTAATTTTATTAATATTTTTTTTTGCATTTGATAAAGTAAAAAAAAAAAACTAAAAAATTATTAACATTAAATCCAAACTCACCTAAATAAAGAGCGGGATTGAGCTAATACATTAGAAAAAGCCTCAAATCAAAGTAACTTTTGATATCGATTCAGAGGGAAAAGGTATTTAAAAATTTTGAGTAGAAATTAAATAAAATTAATATTTTTTTTAAAAAATAAATGATAAGATCAAAACGAAACTTACCTAAACGAAGAGTGGGATTAAACTGATACCTCGGAGAAAGCCTCAAATCAAAGTAACTTTTAATATCGATTTGGAGGAAAAAGGTATCTAAAATTTAATTTTTTTTAGAGTAGAAATTAAAATAAAAAATGATAAGTCAAAATGAAACTAACCTAAATAAAAAATAGGATTAAGCTGATACCTCAGAGAAAGCTTCAAATTGAAGTAATTTTCGATATAAATTCAAAGGAAAAGGGATCTAATTTTTATTTTTTTTAGATATTACGCCCCCAAAAATAATTATTAAATATCGCTATATAACTTTCGCTATAAAAATACAAAGGCTCCTGAAATTTATTCAGTGGAGCAAATGGCTCTAAGTGATAAAAGAATTAGTGAATGCACTGAACAAATGAATTTGAAAGTAATTCAGAGTTTAAAAGGCAGTTAATTCAAAAACAATAAAATCTAACGTTAATCAATGACAAGACACCAAAAAAATAAAAATATAAAAGACGAAGTATCTGAAGGCGATTAATGCAATATAAGATAAGTGAAAATATGTCATTTTTTTTACTTTCAATAAAATATTTTATTAACTGTTTTACTTTTAGATATATTTATATATATTTCAGATAAAAATTTTTTTGATTTTTATTACAAAAAGTGAATTTAAATTAAAAAAAATATCTTTAACGATCATGACGCAACATTATATTACAGTTCCCACCAAAAGTAATGGTGGTGGGAATATTAAATAATATTTTGGTCACAGTTTCTCTGGTGTTCCGATTTGATGTCTTATTAATTAGGCTGATTTAGGCAATATGATGTTGTTTTTAATAAAATAAACAAAAAAACCTGATCTTAAATGTTATTTGTTTATTTTAAACTTAACCTAAATTACCATTATACCAAATGCCATCGACATCTATTAAAGCAAATTGCGAAGTCGTAAAATATCTTTGGGATAAAAATATCTATAATGCAAAAGAAATTTCCAACTGAATTGGAGTTCCTTTACGTTCTTGTGAAAGATATGTTGCCATTTTACGAAAAAATGGCAATATTCCAGAAATTCATTGATCTGGCCGCCCACGAAAATTAACCCCACAAAATGTTGGCATGTCAGAATGATCATTAAGCATGATCATTTCACTACAGTTGAAGAACTGAAGGCTATATTAGAAGAAAATGATTCGGAATTAGAAATCGGTAAAACAACACTCCATTGAAAACTTTCTAGGCTCAGTTATGTAGCAGTTCTTCTGCGAAAAGTTCCTCTTTTGATCCAAAAAGTAAAAGACATTTGCTTGTCTTGGGTATAAGACCATTTGCAATATGATTGGAAAAGGTTGGTTTTTTCTGATAACAATCCAAATGTTTCATAACATAACCCTTGCATGGTCCTGTGATGGAAAACCGGTTCAACTCATGGTTAAGCATCCCTTTAAAGTGCATGTTTGGGCTGCGATCAATGTTAAAGGAAGAATCGGCATGTACATGTTTACTGAAAATCTTGATTGTCATTTGTATCACCAAATTCTTGACGATCAGCTCTATAATAAAGTGAATGAATTATTGGGTCATCGATAGATTTTTCAGCAAGATAATGATCTGAAACACAAATCACATGATGTTCAAAGGGACTTGGAAACTCACCTTTCGGGTCGAGTTCTTCTATGGCCATCTTATAGTCCAGATCTTAATCTGATTGAAAATGTTTGGGCTATTTTAAAAAGAAAAGTTGAGATAAAGATTAAGAAAATGGTGGTGCAGAAAAAAAAATATCAATTGAAATTTTTTATAATATAATTCAAGAAGAATAGAATGATTTTGACAATAATATAATAGTTAACTGCATCAATAGTATGCCAAATCGAATTATAGTATGCATTGATGCAGAAGGAATGCATACTAAATACTAATTAATTAATAAAAATTGCAACTATAATATTCATATTTTATTTAAAAAATTTTTAATTGGGTTTATTAATAAATCGCATGTGTTAAGTTATAAAAATTGACTGCCATTACTTTTGGCGGGAACTGTAATAGTGTAACTTTCTAAAATAACATTGCATTGTTTGAAAGAAAATTTCGAATAAGCTTACCAGAAATGGATTAACTATTTAACATAACAAATGAAAGTCTTGTTATTGTTCTATATATAAGAGATTGGTTAGTAACGCTGAATCAGATTTCTAACTCTATGTTGGATTTTTTTGTAGATCATTAACAGGTAACTTATAGTAATACCCTGAATTTGTACTATGATAATTTAGAGAAATAAATCTATTATTAATCTGCCGATAAATTTAATCAATAAATCATATGATTATTAAAATTCGCAATTTCATTGGTCATATATATTGTATATTATTACATGGGGAGAGGTTATGTAAACCGTAGATTCTAATTGGTCAGGCCTAACCTATACCTTTTTTATTATATAATCTTTTATTTATTTAGGATCAGCATAAGGCAATTTATCAAAAAGCTTATAATTATGAAAAAAGACAGGTAAATAATCAAAATATTTTAATAAGATTATATAATTCTTAGTTTAATTAAATTTTTTTAATTTAGCGTAATTT